ACATAGAGGTTCAGTGAAGTTTGGTTTCTGCTATATATATATATATTATATGTATATATTATATATTATAGATATTGTATATATATAACTGTCTTTCCATTGAATAATAACAGTAGCATAGATGATGCAGCATCATGCTGATATTCTTAAACACAAACAAAAATAAAGAGAAGAATTTTCATTAAATGCTATTTCGGAAAAGTAAAAATGAAAAAGCTAAACTTTATCACAATGCATAATTACATTGCAAAAAGAGCAGAAATAAGTGTAGGCAGTTGTGAAAATCACCCTCTCATACTACATTCAACAATGAGATTTTCACTGTGTAATTTATTGGCACAGTTTTTTACCAGCTTTTTTATTCACTCAAAGTTGACTTTCTAATTACAGAATTCTCTTTACTCTGGAAGAAAGAGTACTGACAAGCTTTTATAATTTCACTATAATGGAAGTGCTAATCTCCCTGTAGATCAATAATTAATCAGCTAAACATTCATTTTTTTTTTTTTTTTTTTTTGAGTTGGAGTCTCACTCTGTCGCCCAGACTGGAGTGCAGTGGCCGCTCCCGGCCACCGCAGCCTCGACCTGCTGGGCTCCGGCGATCCTTCCGCCTCAGCCTTCCGAGTAGCCGGAATTACAGGCATGTGCTACCACGCCCGGCTGATTTTTTGATTTATTGTAGAAATGAGGTCTCGCTTGCCCAGGCGGGCCTCGAACCCGCGGACTCAGGCAATCCACACACCTCAGCCTCCCAAAGGCGCGGGATTACAGGCTGAGCCACCAAGCCCGGCCAATAATTTAGTTTCTAAACAAAATCTACAGTTTAGTTCAACAATAAGCACTATTTTCAGAAAAACTATATTACTGGCTCAGATGCATGTAGTAACTTGCTTGTATCTTCAGCCTCACTCCTTTAACTTATTTTAGTCAAAGTACAAGGTCAAACCTCTTCCATTCTGTTAAAATCGTCTCCAAACCAAGCCCATAGTTTGCTAATCTTGTCTTCTGTTTTTATTGTACCCACTCAGCCAATTTATTTGAAGTATTGATTCTCAGTCTCTAAAATAACCCTCGTTTTGTTCAAGTGAATAAACTCCCGGCAATCTTATTGGAGCTTCCCTGCTATACCAGGTACTGTTGAACCCTCCAAATGCTTGAAACTGTTTAGTTCTTTGCTTTACTGACCTTCCCTTCTCTCTTTCTAGGCACTGCTCCACACATGAACACAATGACTTCCAACAAATGACTGTATCTCCCCTGAGCTTCAGACAGTATAATTTCCTAAGAGGAAACATACTGCCCTATACAACTAAGCACCAGTCTTTCCCTCCTGTATTTGATATCGTAATAGAAAATCTGCAGATAAAAAGGCAATGTATTTTTTATATTGCTAGTAACATCAAAGGGCTTTACAAAATCCTTCATTTCTGGATTCTGTTATCCACTGAAATCTCTTAATTTTCTCCTAAGTAGCATATTTGCATCATAAAAATATCAGTGACAATAACACGAGTACTGTATGGGTTGAATTTAACTTTTCCTTAAAACTGTTATAGATGGACTTATTCTAAACAATGTCACCAATTTACCTCTATGCCAAGATAAATATTTCAAACATCTCAGAGGTGAAAAGTAGTTTTAAAAGCATCGGTTTTAGTCTCCTCCTCTAATGCTGAACCATGTTACTACCATACTGAAGTCAGCTTCTCTGTTAATAGGTCTAATATTGCAACCCTCCCAGGGCTGATGTAAAGGTTAAGAGAATACAGCTATAGATCGTCTGACATATATAAAATCTACAATAAATGCTAGTTCAATGGTAAAATGTGGTCACTTCCCACAAAATTCAAGGAATCAACTCACTTCTTAAACCTATTCACCAACGGAAATTCAAATCCACTGGTCATTCACTCATCGTTCACCCCGTGTGGTCACTTTCATTTTACGTGTTCAACTGTATCCCCAGGTGCTGTAGGACACTATCTCATCTTATCCGGAAGCTGACACAGTATTGGAACGCGGAGCCCGCAGCAGGAATGCTCAGAAACGCTGCTAGTGAGGGAGGACAACGAATGAGTCCCGGGCGAACGTATCCGAAAAAGAGACCGAAAAAGCGCAGAGACCACCATTCCCGAAGAACTCTTTAAAAAGTAGTGAACAGTCGCGTCCCGTCCGAGCAAGCGACAGACTTCTCTCCCTATACGAGAACCTAAATGCGAGGACGACCCGCCGCCCTTCAGTCTCTCCCACTCGCGAAATCACAGCCAGTGACTTGGGGCCGCGCTGCCGGCTCCGCTGACCTCGCTAACCTCAGTTTCGCCAAGAGACCGGGGTCGGGGAGAAAGTGGTCCTCCATTCCCGGGGAGTAAAAGTACCACCGGGGCGCCGAGGCCACTCGCGGGCCCAGGGAGCAGCCCTCCGCAGGGCGGGGATGGTCGGAGCCCGCCCTAGGGGCAGCCATGGGGAGGGGGCTGGCTGGACTGCGAGGCCCTGGGGGAGGCAGCCTGGGGGGGGGGGGGAAGGAAGGGCCTAGAACGCGCGCGATGCCGGCAGGCAGGAGGACCGGACGCCTCAGCAAAGGCCTCCCCGGCCGCTGCGATGCACGGCTCTCACCGTCGGAGTTGGTCTCGGGGTCGAAGCGCTGGCCGCAGCCGCGGTTGTAGCACAGCAAGGCCATATTCTCTTCCCACCGGCACCGGTAAGGCCAAGCCCCAGGAACCGCAAGGCAGAGGTTCGCGCTGCCCAGTCGCAGACACCGGTCTGACGGCCGACGCGACTGCCGGCTTCCGGAAACCGGCGCGTCCGTTTCAAGAACCTTCGCGAATGTTCCGGTCGCGCCTGCGCAGAGGACGCGGGAAGAGGCGGAAGAGCACGGTAGGGGGCGGGCAGCCGCCGGAGGTGGGTGGGACTCCAGAGGGGTCGCGGGGTCGGAGACAGAGGGGGACCCTTGTAGAGGCGGAACCTAAGGAACCAGAGGCACGGACGCGCGCTCTGCGGACCTGTCGCGGCTTCCGGCTCTGAGGACCTCCAGCTGCCGAGCGGCTCCCTGCGTCTGCTGCTCCGCGGCTGTTCCCCTCCTTTTGAGGCTGTAATTAGCGCGGGTGGTTTCAGGTTACCCCCAGCTACTAGAGCTAGGGCAGAGTCTTGCCGTAGTTCCAGGTCGGCCGCATAGAACGTAAGAACCCCGTGAGGAGGCGAACGGTGGGCTAGACTCCGTGTGTGTGTGTGTGTGTGTGTGTGTGTGTGTGTGTGTGTGTGTGTGTACGTGTGTACGTGTGTGTAATTCGCGGGAGCATTGGAGAGGCGTGTGTGTGTGTGTGTGTGTGTGTGTGTACGTGTGTACGTGTGTGTAATTCGCGGGAGCATTGGAGAGGTGTGGGCACCGGGAGCAATTTTGGTAACTCAACAGCTGCGTCCACACTACTTTGAAGATGTAAAGCACATAAAGGTCAGAACTGCGAAAAGAAAATTTGGGTTGAGTACAGTGCTAGAAATGGTCACAATTGCTCCTCGACCCTAAGTTTATATTAGCCTCCCTCAACCTGTTTATCAATACTCACTCCTCCGATCCTGGGACGTCTAACAAAATTTTATCAAGTCCGTTATAAAAGTACAGTAATGTACTAATAGTCACATACAAGCAGTACTAGCTCTAATTTGTACATTTCCGAAACTTGGGGCATGCGAAATAATAGCAAATGCTTTCTAATAACACATGCTGAGATCTTAAAATAGTAAATCTGTAGCTTGTAAAACAAGAAATCTATACAAATTTCCAGAGATACCAAAGTTATTAATGAGAGATCTCACATGCTCCCACCCTTAAATAATGGCTTTCCTGGTTTACCATATTGCTTTTCTCTTTTACTTAGAAGTATTACCTTTTATATAGTAATCCCAGCAAGTTACATGTAATGTATTCTCCTTCTTTTAACCTAACATGAATATTTTTCTATTTTGTTCCATATCATTTGTGATGGAGCACTCTGTTGTATAAATGCACTGTAATTTAACTTTTCTCCTTTAATCTCACCACCTTTATTATATATAAGCTACAGTGATCAGCTTGTTGTATATTGTTTTTCTTATTTTAAATTCCCGCCTTAGAATAAACTTTTTGGTAAGTGACAATACTGGGTTAAAGGGCATATGAGCCTTTTAAAATAATTTTAATGTTTAAAATACATATTGCCAGTTGCTTTCCAAAAAGGTGGTAGCAATATGCATGAAGGGGAGTAATGGATCATAGAAATCAATCATACACAATTAGAAACAGAGAGATGGAGAGTTACTAGCAATCCTGGATTGCTAACTAAATCTTCTAAATAGTTTTAATGTTTTTGCCAGGTTTTTTTAATCTACAGCATTTTACAATCAGAAAAGAATTGCTTATAGTAGATAATTTGGAAAGTGTAGAAATATATTTAGAACAAAATCAACAGTATTTTCACCACCTAGCAATACGTACTGAATGGCTATAACTGAATAAATTTGAATGTTCGCTGCCACCGTAAGCATCTACAGATATAGATACAAAAAAAAAAAAAAAAAGAATAGAAAGAGTATAATTGTACCATATGTTTATGTTTCTCCTTTGGTTATTTTGATAAATTGTAAAATTAAATCATTCTTATGATTCAGAAAATCAGTGGTACAGAAACAGTGTATTCCACTCCTGCGCTTCAGAGCTGGCTACCACCAACTGTTTGAGAAACTAGTATTTGCCTGTATAATATATATAGACTTTGAATCTAGTTTCCTTTCCTCCCCTCACCCTCATACATATCAAAAAATGCTTTAACTTTGTCTTATTTGTTATTAACAAAGGACTTAAATATGTTAACATAAAATAATTTTCAATTATTCTTAGTAGGAGGCGGTATATCATTCTCATTACTTTTCTGCATTTTAAAATATTTCTAAAAACAAATAATTTTTGAAAGGCACAAAAATGTATCAATCCTTAAAAATAAATTCAACCTTTTAAAAAATTTGTAGCAGTATTTTATGAATAAATTTTTAATTAATAGGGAAATAACAACTAGGATGGTTCTTTATACTGTTTTCTTCCCTTCAAAACACATTTACCATATAATATATGTATTTGTGTGTATGCATATGGTTCTATGTTTATAATTTTTGTTAACCAGACAGAATGTCACCTCCTTGAAAGATGAACTGTTTATTCACTTCTGTATCTCTATGACCTAGAGCAGCACTATTCAATAGAAATACATAATGTGAGCTACACATGTGAGGACATATATAATTTTAAATGTTCTAGTAGCCACACTAAAAAAAAAAGTAAAAAACAGGCAAAAATAACTTCTGTTATTTTATTCCAAAGTATCTAAAATAATTCAATGTAAAATCAGTGATGAAATTTTTTGCTTTATTTGTATTGAGTCCCCCAAATATGGTATGTATTTTAGTTTTATATCATTTCTCAACATGAGCTAGCCACATTTCAGCTGCTTAACAGTAACAAGTTGCTAGTAATTTCCATGTTGGGCAGAATTAGTCTGCTTGTTAGTATGTCTTCAATAAGTGTTTTTTTAAAATGATTGAATTCTAATAAGCCAATAAAGGAGGATATTATGCAGTTTATTGGAGTAAGACTGATTAAACTGAAAAGATATGTATGTTATTGAAATAGTGAAAAAAATAAGTTTACATAAGCTCCATTATCTTAACAACAATAATTATGGATATGGTAAGCATGTATCTATGTAAATGTATAAAATAATGATGGGAAAGGAAATGTACTAATCTTTGAAAACAGTGGCTCCCTATAAAGACAAGGATGGGTTTAAAGGAACAGTTAATATTTTACATTTTACTCTATATACTTAGATTCTTTAAAAATGTAGTATATATTTTTTAATATAACTAATGTTATGAAGAAGAATAAAAATCAACATTTCAATGACTTTTTAGTTCATCTACTTAATCCTTGGAAAGGTATGTTAATTTTACCCATTAAGATCGTGTTCTGAACAGTTTGTGATTTGTGTATGTTGAATTTACATTATTCATCCATAAAGGTGTATGTCTTTTTTATTTAGAGTTTGTATTTTTAATATAATGGCCATCTTTATAGCATTTCATGTTTTTTTTCCTGGAAATTTTTAATGCTTTAATTTTTGCTGTGTTTGGTTTTGCTTTTGCCTAAGAAACCTTATCCCATCCATTCATATTTAACCTGTCATTTTATTTAGTGGATTTCTATAGTAAACATTAGATAGATGGTTTCTTGTTTTTCTTTTCTCGCCTCAAATCTGAGAATCTTATTATTTTTAAGAGAAGTTTAACCTTTTTCTTTCTAATTAGTGATTGAAAGTTCAGGTCTTAAAGGGGCCTTGTAAATCACTAAATATCTGTAAGCCTCAGTTTCCTTGTCTGTAAAACACTGATAACAATAGGATGCTGTGAAGATTAATTAATACATGTAGAACATATAGTATAGTGTAAGCACTGAGTAATGAATCCACAAAAATTTAGCAATGTTCTGTTGTCTCGCTTTTGAGTATGTGTGTGTGCAGTTGTATGTCTGCTTCCTTATTTTTATTTAGTATATTGGCTAAGTAAAGTGTTTGCTGCTGTTTTATTTTCTCTGTGATTTTCAAAACATATAACTTGTTTTTAATTCACTTCAGCCAATATTAAGCAGTTAATATGTGTTGGTACTACATTAGATGCAGGATACAGCAATGACTGGAAGTGACATTTTACCTGTCATTGTGTTTAAATATCCTGAGAAAGATAGACATGTATCAAATGCCCCCAAATGTAAATTCAATCTCTAGGAATTGGCTTAAGTGCCATTAATGAAAAGTATATTATGCTAAATTAGTGGGTATTGGAATTTGCCTGATCTGGGGTTAGAATTCCTACAGGGGATAGTTTAGACAATGGTCATGAGTTGGAAGACAGTATAGCATTAAAGAAAGTACAGAGTAATTGAGATGAACTAGAGTGCAGAAGAAAGGAATGCCAGATGAGACTGGGAAAGTAGACAGATGCTAAACCACCCAGGCAGCCTGAGAGGCAGTTGTGAGGATGGTGGAAAAGGGCTTTTATCCTAGGTAGTGACAAATAATTGGAAGAATTTTACCATGAATGTGATTTTGATTCTATTGTTTGTTACCTGTAACATTTTCAAGTTCATTTCTTTAATGTATTTCTTTATCACGAAACCTCCTTGGAGGCAATAAGGGACAGGAAGGAAAATGGCAGCACTAAGCTGCCACAATTACTGGAGAGATTCCAAAGTAATTTATAAAAGTTACAAAAAGGAAGCAGAACTTCCAGAATGGCAGGGTAGAGACTTCCAAAGAGCAATGAGTTTGTCCATAAAAACAAGCACCCCCACCCAAATACCTCCAAATGAATGCTGAGGCAAAATTTGCCAAATAAACTTCCAGAAATCTGGAAATTAACTGAAGGAATGCAGTAATTAAAGAAAAGCATATACTCAACAAAAGAACTAAATGTTGGTAAGATCAACAAGCTCTGTGACATTTTGACTTTCCTATTTTCATTCTTTTCTCTATAGCTAAATGGTAGGTTTGAAATCCAGCAGCCTCCCAACAACAATAGCTATTATGTAAACCAGAATTTTAGAAACCACAAGAAGATGCAAAATGACTTTAGAGCTTCCTCCAAAATTTCTGTATTCAAACAATTGACACTATTGAGCTAATACTTCCTTAGAAAACACCATCTTCATGACTTACAATTATTTTGACCTATTCAAAGCTTTTTGATTGGGAAAAATCCTGTCTATAGGATGTTTACTGAAAACAATCAGCAGTAATTGTTTG